GCAATTGCCGCATTTTATATTTATGAAATTTGGTAAATGGATGTCAAAACTGCATTCCTGAATGGATTTCTGCAAGAAGAGTTGTATATGATGCAGCCGGAAGGTTTTGTCGATCCAAAGGGAGCCAACAAAGTGTGCAAGCTCCATCGATCAATTTATGGACTGGTGCAAGCCTCTCGGAGTTGGAATAAACGCTTTGATAGTGTGATCAAAGCATTTGGTTTTGTACAGACTTTTGGAGAAGCCTGTATTTACAAGAAAGTGAGTGGGAGCTCTGTAGCATTTCTGATATTATATGTAGATGACATATTGCTAATCGGAAATGATATAGAATTTCTGGATAGCATAAAAGGATACTTGAATAAGAGTTTTTCAATGAAAGACCTCGGTGAAGCTTCTTACATATTGGGCATTAAGATCTATAGAGACAGATCAAGACGCTTAATTGGACTTTCACAAAGCACATACCTTGACAAAGTTTTGAAGAAGTTCAAAATGGATCAATCAAAGAAAGGATTCTTGCCTATGTTACAAGGTGTGAAATTGAGTAAGACTCAATCCCCGACCAATGCAGAAGATAGAGAGAAAATGAAAAATGTTCCCTATGCTTCAGCCATAGGCTCTATCATGTATGCGATGCTGTGTACCAGACCTGATGTGTGTCTTGCTATAAGTCTAGCAGGGAGGTACCAAAGTAATCTAGGAGTGGATCACTGGACAGCGGTCAAGAACATCCTGAAATACCTGAAAAGGACTAAGGATATGTTTCTCATATATGGAGGTGACAAAGAGCTCATCGTAAATGGTTACGTTGATGCAAGCTTTGACACTGATCCGGACGATTCTAAATCGCAAACCGGATACGTGTTTACATTAAACGGTGGAGCTGTCAGTTGGTGCAGTTCTAAACAAAGCGTTGTGGCGGGATCTACATGTGAAGTGGAGTACATAGCTGCTTCGGAAGCAGCAAACGAAGGAGTCTGGATGAAGGAGTTCATATCCGATCTAGGTGTCATACCTAGTGCATTGGGTCCAATGAAAATCTTTTGTGACAATACTGGTGCAATTGCCTTGGCAAAGGAATCCAGATTTCACAAGAGAACCAAGCACATCAAGAGACGCTTCAATTCCATCCGGGATCTAGTCCAGGTGGGAGACATAGAGATTTGCAAGATACATACGGATCTGAATATAGCAGACCCGTTGACTAAGCCTCTTCCATGAGCAAAACATGATCAGCACCAAAGCTCCATGGGTGTTAGAATCATTACTGTGTAATCTAGATTATTGACTCTAGTGCAAGTGGGAGACTGGAGGAAATATGCCCCAGAGGCAATAATAATGTTATTATTTTATTTCCTTATATCATGATAAATGTTTATTATTCATGCTAGAATTGTATTATCCGGAAACATAATACTTGTGTGAATACATAGACAAACCAAATGTCACTAGTATGCCTCTACTTGACTAGCTCGTTAATCAAAGATGGTTATGTTTCCTAACCATAGACATGTGTTGTCATTTGATTAATGGGATCACATCATTAGGAGAATGATGTGATTGACATGACCCATTCCATTAGCTTAGCACCCGATCGTTTAATGTGTTGCTATTGCTTTCTTCATGACTTATACATGTTCCTATGACTATGAGATTATGCAACTCCCGTTTGCCGGAGGAACACTTTGTGTGCTACCAAACGTCACAACGTAACTGGGTGATTATAAAGGAGCTCTACAGGTGTCTCCAAAGGTACATGTTGGGTTGGCGTATTTCGAGATTAGGATTTGTCACTCCGATTGTCGAAGAGGTATCTCTGGGCCCTCCCGGTAATGCACATCACATAAGCCTTGCAAGCATTACAACTAATGAGTTAGTTGCAAGATGATGTATTACTAAACGAGTAAAGAGACTTGCCGGTAACGAGATTGAACTAGGTATTGAGATATCGACGATCGAATCTCGGGCAAGTAACATACTGATGACAAAGGGAACAACGTATGTTGTTATGCGGTCTGACCGATAAAGATCTTCGTAGAATATGTGGGAACCAATATGAGCATCCAGGTTCCGCCATTGGTTATTGACCGGAGACATGTCTCGGTCATGTCTACATTGTTCTCGAACCCGTAGGGTCCGCACGCTTAAGGTTTTGATGACAGTTATATTATGAGTTTATGCATTTTGATGTACCGAAGTTTGTTCGGAGTCCCGGATGTGATCACAGACATGACGAGGAGTCTCGAAATGGTCGAGACATAAAGATTGATATATTGGAAGCCTATATTTGGATATCGGAAGTGTTCCGGGTGAAATCGGGATTTTACCGGAGTACCGGGAGGTTACCGGAACCCCCGGGAGGTATATGGGCCTTAGTGGGCTTTAGTGGAAGAGAGGAGAGGTGGCCAGGGCTGGGCCGCGCGCCCCTCCCCCCTAGTCCGAATAGGACAAGGAGAGGGGGGCGGCGCCCCCCTTCCTTCTCTCTCTCCTCTTTTCCCCTCCCGAATCCTATTCCAACTAGGAAAGGGGGGGAATCCTACTCCCGGTGGGAGTAGGACTCCTCCTAGCGCGCCCTCCTCCTGGTCGGCCGCACCTTCCCCTGCTCCTTTATATACAGGGGCAGGGGGCACCCCTAGACACACAAGTTGATCCACGTGATCATATTCTTAGCCGTGTGCGGTGCCCCCTTCCACCATAATCCTCGATAATATTGTAGCGGTGCTTAGGCGAAGCCCTGCGACGGTAGTACATCAAGATCGTCACCACGCCGTCGTGCTAACGGAACTCTTCCCCGACACTTTGCTGGATCGGAGTCCGGGGATCTTCATCGAGCTGAACGTGTGCTAGAACTCGGAGGTGCCGTAGTTTTGGTGCTTGATCGATCGGGCCGTGAAGACGTATGACTACATCAACCGTGTTGTGCTAACGCTTCCGCTGTCGGTCTACAAGTGTACGTAGATCACACTCTCCCCTCTCGTTGCTATGCATCACCATGATCTTGCGGTGTGCGTAGGAATTTTTTTTGAAATTACTACGTTCCCCAACAAAATCATCACTATCATGTGGTCTATATGGCATTCACGGAACAGAATCAAGCATGATCAGGAAGGGCTTGATCCTATGATTTCATTGCGATCCATCAAGGAGTCGCTAGCTCTGTTGGAATTGCCACGTAGTGCAGCAAAAATTCTACCAGGTTATGGTTGGAAGCCACCGGACCCGGGCATTGTCAAGATTACAACAGATGGGGCTATCAACTTCGAAGATAATTGTAGCGGTGCGGGTGGCATCGCTCGATCCATGTCTACATACCTGGGAGCCTGGTGTAAGCCGCACCTGGGGATCTCGGATCCATTAATTGCGGAGGCTTTGGTAATGTGTGAGGGGGCTCGTTTCGCAAGTCTGCGGGGACTCACACATGTGATCATGGAGCTGGACTGCCTGGAGTTGGTGCAACTCTGGAATACTCGCCACAATTCTCGTTCAATTGTGGCTCCAATCTTACTTGAAATTGAAGAGCTAGTTAGCAATTTCTCTTTATTTAGGAGTGAATTGCATAAAACCACCACATTTGGGGCTTCACTTGCATAAAAACACCGGGTCACTATTTTTTTGCAAAAATCACCGCAGATTCGGTAAACTTGTTGCAAATAGCACTAATCGGGCGATTTGCTGTGTTTGATCACTTTCTGACAAGTGGGGCCGGGTTGTAAGGAGCTGACTTGGCCAAAAAAATACATACACCCCCCTGAATTTTACAAATGCACCCTTATTAGAAAATTTAAAAAGCAATCAGGGCCCCCCCCTTTCACCACCGTCCTCTGCCTCCTCCCAGGCGGCGGCGGCGAAGCCGGACACCAAATCCGGCGAGGAGCCCACTCCGGCGACCTCGTCGCCGCCGACAACACGTCGGCGACCATTGCTGCCCCGCCTACCATCCCTTCCTCCTCCCTTTTTCAAGGGATAAGGTATCTTCTCCTTCTCCTGTGTACGAGCTCATAGCCGGCGGCGGATCCGGCTTCGTCCAGCTTCCGCGAACGTCCTGGAGAGAGAGAGAGAGAGAGAGAGAGAGAGAGAGAGAGAGAGAGAGAGGGAGGGAGAAAGACAGGGGAGGAAGAAGATGGAGAGGGGGCGGCGGTTGTGCCCGGTGCACCGTCGAACTGCGGGGAAGTCCGGCCAGAGCGGCGCGAGGCTCGGTGGCGCGTGCGCACGGGGCTGCGGGGCTCTCCTGTGGGCGTGGACGCTCCGCTGCGGCTGCACGAGCGAGGGGAAGTGGGAGGTGTAGGAGGAGGGGAGGAGGCGCCGGAGACGGGCGGCGCCGCGCGCCGCCGACGGCGGCCGAAGCGCTTGGAGGTTGGCCAGCATCCACAGCGTCGAGGGGCGCTGGGCATCCTTGGCAGAAGGCCGAGGCGCGGCCACGGCATCCCGGCGGACGCCGCCGTGGCTTGAAGGCCGAGCTCCCGACGCCGCCTCCACGAAGTTCACGCCACAGACACTACACAGGAGCTCCGGCTCCCCGACAACGGCAGTGCGCTGCTGGCCCTCGTGCTTGCGGAGATGGCCGACGCGTGCGGGGACATCTCCACTCCGGCGAGGGGCAGAAGTCGAGGTCGGGCGGTCGGGGACAGGTCTGGGAGGAGGGGCGAGGGGGTCGATTGCTTTTTGTTTTTAGATCTAAGGAGGTGTATGTAAATGTTTTGCCAAGTCAGCTCCTTACAGCCCAGCCCCACTTGTCAGAAAGTGATCAAACGTAGCAAATCGCCCGATTAGTGCTATTTGCAACAAGTTTACCGAATCCGCGGTGATTTTTGCAAAAAATTAATGACCCGGTGGTTTTCTGCAAGTGAAGCCTTAAATGTGGTGGTTTTATGCAATTCACTCCTTTATTTAGTGTACTTCATATAAATTGTTCGGCTAATGTTTCGGCTCATCTATGTGCTAAACATGCTTGCACATTGAATATGACCGAATGCTGGCTTGATGTGATACCTAGCTTCCTAGTGACCAGCTTGATGGCTGATTGTCATAGGTCTGCTGTGATTTAATAAAGCTCTCTTGATTGCCGAAAAAAAAAAAACCCTAATGAGGCCGCCAGAGTTCGACGCGGTAGACGGCGAAGTCGGAGGCCTGTGTGGGGTCGCGCAGCAGCGGCCTGGTGACCCTGTCGACCTCGGCCACATCGAAGCCGTGCTCCCGCAGCACGTCCACGCAATCCTGCACGCCACACCGCACCTCGCTGGCCGCCCACCCCACCGTGCCGTCCCGCCACAACCTGCGCAACGTGGCTGCCATCGCCGGCATCTCCTCCGGATCATAGAACACGTCGGACATGAGCACCACGTCCACGCGCAGGAGCTCGCAATCGGGCAGGTCGGCGTCCTCGCCCCAGCGCAGCTCTCGCACGTCCGCCTGCGCGGTCGTGAGACCGTTGGCCTCGGCGTTGGCCCTGAGGCCCGGCAGGAGCGGCCCCACGTCCGTGAGCACGCAGCGCGCGGCGCCGAGGCACGCGACGGCCGCGATGCCCGGGAGGCCGGTGCCGGCGCCGAGCTCGAGAACGGTGGCGCCGTGGATCGTCCCGGGTCTGGCCGAGGCAAGGTGGGTGGCGAGGACGACGGCGGAGTCCCAGAGCCAGGAGCCGGTGAGCGCGCGCCCCGTGGCCGGGTCGTGCGCGCCGTCGCGCTCCACCACGGCCAGGGCGCGGCCGGCCACGTCGACGTGCAGCACCGCATGCATCACGTGTGGCTTATCTGCTTGATCGCGTTGGGCTCCAGATTTAGACAGGCGGTATTAGATCGCACGGCTTTATTAACCGAAAGCTTCCGAACGAACGGAAGGTTCAGGATAATGCCGGACTGCCGCTTGGCTGTCGATTTGGCTCGATCTATCCATACCTGACCTGGATGTGTCCGTGTTCCTTACAGACTGGATTTGTATGCCGTGTTCAATTCACAAGTCGGGCCCTCTTGCATTGTTATCTGTACTACAAGCAAAAAAAAAAAGAATTAGATCTATTATAAAAATTCACCGGGAGAGTACAAAGGATCTCAAACCTAACGAACAAAACTGTCGCCAGAACGAGCCACCGACGCGCCGTTGTCGCCGCTCCCCTATCGGAGCCAGCTTGAACTTGTCGATAACAACTGAGAAGTCTTCCTGCACGTGCCCTAAAGGACTTGTCGTCGTCGAACCCTTGCATAGATTTGAAGCACCTGACACCAAATTTCACCACATGACGAGAAACCCTAACCTCACCGCCCTAAGGAGACGGCAAAATCTATGTCGGGGCTCCGTCGACTACATCCATACATGTTGGTGTTCTTTCCAACTATATATGTGCCTAACAACACATCTAGGTTCAAGTCGTACCCCTTTGCTCGTTCCAAGGGACACCCTGAGCTAGGGTTTCTCGTGCCTCCCATCGGCGCCGCCGGTCTGCCTCGTCTCTTGTGGCATGAGGGCCATGTAGGTGTAGTGGATCCGAGCCCTCATCGGCGAGAGGGCTCCATTTTTGGATGTCTTCTTGAGTTTTGTTAGGGTTTTGGTCCTGCTTGGGTTGGCGCCGGCTCACTGAAGATGGAATAAGATTCTCCTTGCCTAGCCCTCGTCCCCGCGGTGTTTCTAGCTTTGGCGGAGGACGTGTGAAGGTTCGTTTTCGGCAGATCTCACGGAATTCGATCGACGTTTGTCTTCGGTGGATCCATTTAGATCCAGTCCATGTAGATCAAGTCTCCGTCTGTATGTGTTTGTGTGTCTAGAGGTTGGATCCTTTTGATCTACGCTTCTCTTCATCGTCGCTGTTTGTTGTTCTAGTGTGCTAGTCTTATAGGGCCTTAGCACGATGACTTCTCGGGTGTCTACTATAAAAAGGTTTGCCTAGCTCCAGTGACAAGGGTGGCGGTTGCACGCCTTCGGCTCGCTTCCAATGCTTGTAGTTGTTGCTAGGTGGTCTATGGACAAACATGTAATTTTACTTCTGGTGTTTATACTCCCTTGATAGTTCATGAATAGATCAGAAGTTTTTCCCGCAAAAAACTATATATGTGCCTTAAAATATATCTTTGACTTTAATTAGTCCTTTCCAAAAATAAATATGTAGGTCCAATGGTCAGTACCAATGAATACATCATGAAATCTAGCATTAGCCATTGCCCATGAATTTTGGCACAGACCGCTATCAATGTTGAATCAGCGTACATTTTCATTTCTTCCTTTATGTGTCCACGTGGTAGTGGCATCAATGCGGACCGTTTGGAGGATGAGAGGGCAATTCTCGGCCTTGTGGAGGGGAAAGTCCACTTAACGAGCCATCACCCGTTGTTGGTCCACTCATCAATGTCATGTGAAGATCAGAGAGCAGAGTGGGACAAAAGTAAGGATGGCAATGGGTATCCACTGCCCACGTGCCCTGTGGATAAACCTCTATTAGGGTAAAGATATGGGACAAAATGTTACCCATGGGTATATAAATAGGGAAATTTGAAACCCATCGGGTAGAGCGGGTACGGGTGTGGGATCGTATAATCCATACCCACATACCAATGTACTCATATAAAATCTGAAAAGTATGGCCAAATTATCTCTACAATTTGTCCTGAATTTGTGAACTCAAAATGTATGACTATGTGATGTTGTTCACGGGAAAATTTGTTGTTTATTAAATGTGTTATTGTTTATGATGTGTTGTTGTTTATAAGTATGTGTTGCTATTACAATGTGTTCCTGTTTATAAATTATAATTGTATGTTGCTTTTTATGACTATGAGTTGTTCAAATTGATGCTATGCAAACATGAGTAATCATCATATTAGCTATCCATTACTTTGTGTCTATGACTAGTGGGGCCCTATCATCATATTCGTGTTCAACCGGTAGATTTGAGGTTTTTCTTGACGATTAGTCCTAGAGTTGTGGAATATTTTGCTAAAATTGCATAGAGTTGTGCTTTTGTCTTGCCCCTAAACTTGTGTATTTGTGAAAGAAAAGATCTTGAAGCCCTCGTCCCCGATTTGTTCATTTGCTTCGTCTATGGCCATTCTGCTGACCCGATCTCTTTGCTTGTTCATTTCTTCCTCGAGCACCATCGGATCGTCCCTTCCCGAAACAGATCAACTGGTTTTAGGATTATCATTGCTCTTCCCTTGCCTTTTCACTGTTGTATCTCCTATGGTCCCTGAATCTAGTGCTACTCACGTGCTTGCATAGTCTGTGTTTGATAATATGCACATGAGACAACTCTATGTGATCATGCTCTCTGAGGAATTGTGTATTTGAGTAGATCTATCTTTATCTCGATACTGAATTACCTGTTGAATCTCTCCTCGAACCCCTAGGTTATTACTCGAATACTTAGATCTGGAGCTCAGATCTGGTGAAGTTGTTCTGTTAGACCTCTGTTTTAGTTATTCAGGTGCTGATCAGTTTGATTACTTATAATATAATCCCTGTGGAGAACACGACAGCCTCTATACCTAGCACCGATCAGTCACCAATCAAATTACCGCGGAAACTGACGAGAACCGGATTTATCATGCATCATAATATTAGTACCCTTCTTGACATCCTTCCTAACTTTGCCATTGTTTTCCTTTCAGCTAAACTTGAAACAATAAATAATAAATAACGCTTGTATTCCTATTTCCTATGCAAAGTTGTTTTTCAAATACTTGTATAATCCTGAGAAAGGGGGTACAAAACAAGATAGCCTACACAATCCGGATTTCACGTTGAATATCATTGGCACCAATGGTGTCAGGAGTAGTGGATGAAAGTGAACCCTTAGATCTTGATCTTGATGACCTTGATGATCTTGATGATGCCGTTGGCGAACTGTTCTTGGTAGATTTCTTCCTTCTAGCCTTTCGGGGTGGCTTTGGTATGTCAGGGTACGGTGTTGATCCCGGACTACTATTTTCTGGAGGTATACCATAGGCTGATATGTCTCGAGGGTGGTCAAAATCTGCCAAACAACTTGGACAAATCAGCCGGTGGTTCTCAAAACTGTTTGTTGTTTCCCTCAAAAAAAAAACTCTTTCTTGTAATAGCACATTTTCAAATTACTTAATTTTTTGATGGAAAGTTTAACATTTACTCATCCATTAATTAACCAGAAGAGAATTGCCTGGTTAATTAGTGAAAACCCCGCTGAAATCTGGGTACTATAGCTATATGAAGAATATTGTAAGTAATGAGTTAAAGTTTTATAACTTATCGATGATGCAACCATTAGTCCGTTTACCCCTCAACTCAGTTGTTTAATACCAATCATGTGTGCCTGCAGCTCTGATGCCCCATCATGATTATTAATGAACTAGCAGAAGATTGCTAAGCATAAACGGCAACATGGCAGCACGTCCCTATAATATCGAATGGCAAGTATCCTTCCCCATTTACACATTCCACTATAATAAACAAGACACGATCTTATTGTAGAAAAAAACATAACAGAATCTTCTAACGTGATGGAAACAGAAGGAATTGAGATCAAAACATGTGCACCACTACCAGAACTGAAGATCTGAAAAATACCTTGAGAACTCCAGGAGGTACCTGTAGATGGTCCGGAATTGCTCAACGTTGAAACGTCCGGTGTACCATTCATGTTGTTCATCTGCAAAGTAAGGATAAATTGAAACTATGTCAGTTTCCCATTAAGTCATGACCAATGGGGATTATCGAGAAGAGGCAATGAGCCACAAGAGATTTTTAGTACTGTTCTGAATTCTGTAAGATATGTATATACCCAGCTAGGAGTAGGAGAAGTAGCAGCACTCCCTGTCGGGCTATCCCAACCGATATGCGCGACATGCTTCACGTCTATGGGATGACCAATCTCCATCTCTTGCTCCTTCACCACTGCAAGCATGGCATGGACCAGGGAAGGGTGAATAAAGATAAGGATAAGGAAGTATGCAACTGAATGCAAATTTTCACAATTAGGACATGAAGAATATCGCATACCAAAGATTTGAGTAATAATCCTGAGGCCCTTGAAGACCCCTTTCATCTTGTAAGCCATCAGTGGATGTTGTGCACAGATACCAGCTGAAGCCCTTCAAATGCAAAAGCACAAGAAACCAAGGTGAGCAATGAGCTCTAGTTCCTGAAAGAATTTTCATCGGCACACACACAGAAGGAGAAGTGGTAGATGGGTCAACTGATGGTGCGCATACCTCAAGATAGAAGGTGATGCCTCTCTTCTTGCTTGTTCAATGAGGGGTGTCTCCTCCCATCCTTCAACAATGGCATTAAAGACCTCATCCACAGGAAGGCCTTATTTGCCAGGACATATACAAGCTGGCAGCACATTTCAGGAACAGAAAACTGGCATCAGCAATGGTATAAACAAAGGAGCTGTCAAGTTATAGGACTATTCTAATGCTTACTCTCGAAATAATGACAATATGAGACTATATGGATCTGTCGACCAGAAACTCTTGTCTCCATACATTGGTACTTTGATTTCAGTTGTCAGTAAATGATTTGGATGCAATTTGAAAAAATAAACAAACACAAGTGAATAAGATATTCACTCGCAATCTAAATGTAAGGAGTAGAGTTGCATTGTTTTGATGTTCTGGGCCACTCGTTCTTCCGCTGTATACCGGCTGTTGTTTGACAGACACGAGCTAGGATCTGAGTTGGTGGACTACATTATACGAGATCGATGCAGCCACGTTGAGGACACATGGCTCTTAATCAGTCAAGAACCGCGTTTCGTGGATACTGCAAAATCTCGAAAGCCCATGAAACATTTTCTCGGCCAACTGGTCGGGTATTCGACATCATTTACGTTACTACGCATAGTGCAGCTGAAAAAATGACAACGTCCAAATACACAGAGTCTAACTTCTGTTACTTTGTTTTATGTACATGTAAAAAAAGTTGCTCTTTATCGGTCAAAACCTCTCTAGAGTTGTTACGTCTGTTACTTTGTTTTATGTAGAAAAAAGTATTCTGATCGGTCAAAACTTCTCTAGCGTTGTTATGGTCTCCAAAACACAATCTTGACTCTATTTCTTTGACAACGCATTAAATCTAACAATATATAGATACTATTTTTTCAGGCAACCAGAAAAAGCTTTGAGTTCCTAATCAAGATTGATCCAAAAGACAATTCCGATACCAGATACCACATTGGAATTATGAGTATGTCAACATCTATCGAACATCCAAGAACACCATCTGGATATTACAGTAATAACTTACACAGGAATATTACAGTAATAACGATTAGTGTGATTTCTCGCTGCTCGGATCAACGCAGATTCGCAGACGCAGTCCGTCTGCATTCCTAGTTGCACCTGTTGGACGCCTAGTACCAGGATTGTTTCCCTTAATGTTCTGTTTTTCCTTTTTTTTATTCTTATTTTCTTTTTCTTTTTTCTTTTCTTTCCCTCCGATTCTTAATTTTTAGTTTAACGTCCAAAAAAAATGATCATCATATTTTTAAAATATTCCCATCATGTATTCAAAAATGGCCACAGCATATCTCGAAAAACATTCACCATGTATTTAAAGAAATGTTCATGTTGTATTAAAAAAGGCCCCTCGTGTACTTTAAAAGGTTCATCGCATATATAAAAATATATTTAGCATGTTTAGAAAATGTTCAGCACATATTGAAACATGTCCGTCGTGTATTAAAATTCATCCGCTTGTAGCTAGAAATTGTTCATGATGTATTTAAGCATTTATAATTTTCTTTCAAAATAGTGTATAGTGTATTTTTTTTATCCATGTATCTAGAAACTTTCCATCAAGTATTTCAAAAATCAGCACCATTTGTTCGCAAATCTTAGTTGCGTAGTTAATAAATTTCATTTTGTATTTAAAATATGTGAATTAATTTCATAAATTAATTGCATGGAAATTTTGTATGCATGGAAAAAAATATTTTTAAACATCCGTCCGGAATTAGTTTTCGCTGAAATGAATGTGTCTAGAAATATTTCAGTGCTAAAATATATCCGTTTGGGCGACAGGTAATTCCAGACGGTGAGAGTACATGATTAACATTTTTAAAATACACGAAACAGTTTTTTGAATGTATAAAAGTTTTGTAAAATTAGTCAAAATAAAGAATCAATCAAATATGTATGTTTTAGGTATTTTGAAATATAAAATGATTAGATAAAATTTTGTTCAGAAGGAAAAAAAACATGAGGTACTTCCAGGGAGAAAATCGTGGCGTGCTAGCCTTGTGAGATAAAACTGTGTGCTTCTTGGGCCAGGCCGAAGACAAGTCCATTAGGCAAGGCGATCATCGCGCTCACTATAAGCAAAATATAGAAGCTGCTCCGCCTAAGCGGACCAACATGATTTGGGTATAATTACTCAAAAAAATGATTTGGGTATATGAATGAACGCGGGGGCTATAGCGATAGATAGGCTGGCCAAATATGCCTTCATGAGGAGTAAATTTCTGCACCTTTTTTTTCTTGTGTGCTTTTTGTGCCGTTTTTTTTTCTTCAGTTTTCTGTTGTTTTTGGTTTTTTGTATTTCTTTTACAGTTTTCTTTGGGATTTCCTTTCTTCTATTTCTCTTTTTTATTTTATTTTGTGAATAAATGTCTACCTTTTTTTCAAATACATGTTGCCTGATGTAAATTTTCCGTATATCTAGAACATTTTTCTTATTCATGCTGAACATTTTTCAAATACATGATTAACATTTTTCTAATACATGTTTTGAATATTTTTAACGAATAAGTGTTAAAAAATTCAGGTAGGCATTGGACATATTTTCAATGATACCTTACATTTTCTAAAATTACGCATATATTTTTCCCATTTTATAACATTTTTTAAATGTCACATAAATTATCCTGAAACGCGTGAATATAATTAAAAAATATGAAGTGTATCAACTATTTTAAATTTTTAAATACCATGAACATTTTTAAGAATCCTATCAATTATTTTTTTCTAAAGTATGTGAATAGTTTTTTTCCTTTGCATTTACATTGATCAAATTCCCGGTGAATATTTTTAGAAAAAAATAAGTAAATTAGATTTTTGGAATATGTGTATTTAGATTATTTTTAAAATATAACAAAAGATAAAATGAAAAAATGTACAAATTAAGAAGCAAAGGAGAAGAGGAGACATGTGGCTTTGGTCGTGTTGGTGGGCCTGACCCAGTACCGTCGCACTACACGCAATGCATCCTTAGAACTCGCCACATGTTCTTCTGGAAAAAAAGAACTCGCTACAAGTAAGAATTCGACACGCCCTATGAATACATGTTTTCGCATAGGCTAGCTCGGCTCTAATTGTGCTAAGCCCACCCTGGAAATGCCGACCTTGGGCCCATCCCGACCCAACTTAACAACTTGTGAAATTTCTAAGTTCATATTTAACAAGTATATACGCATGAGCTTCATCATCACTTGTATTGTTGTTGAAGAAGTTCGACGCAATTCTTCTTCAACAACTTCTTCAGATTTAGAGACTTCTTCCTCAGAGTCCATTTCTTTCCCATGCCTTATCCTTGTGGGAGTTGTTCTTCTGGTTGGAGTGAGTCTTGGAGGGATTTCTTGATGAAGACTTCGAGAAGGAATTATCTTTCTTCTTTGAGAACTTTTCTTATTTTTTTTCTCAACAATAGAATCATAGATCTTGGTCTTGCTCTTGAAACTCTTGCTACCGCCCATGATGCACTTGCCACTTGCTATAGCTTCAACTTCCACAACGAACAATCAGAGATGAAATGTCCAGGCTTCTTGCACTTGAAGCATGCATAGTTTCTAGATGATTTTGAGCTTGACGAGGACTTTAAGTTACTGCTCAAGCTTTTCTTCTGGAACTGATTCTTTTTTTTCAAACTGCTGAAAATGCTTAGTTACCAGCTCGAGATCTTTGCCACTTGCTCTAGCTTGAAGTTCCACATCCGACAACAGAGATGAAATGCCCGGGCTTCTTCCACTTGAAGCATGTATAATCTCTAGAAGATTTTGAGCTTGGCGAGGACTTGAAGTTACCGCTCAAGCTTTTCATCTGGGACTGATTCTTTTTTCCAAACTGCTGAAAATGCTTAGTTACCAGCTCGAGATCTTTGCTGATACTGTCAGGGTCATCAGAGTCTTCATCAGCATATTCTTCAGCATCTGAGGAAAAAATAGCTTCAGCTTTGAGAGCATGATTCTTTAGGTAGCTAGAGCCATATAGATCTCTTTCTTCTTGTTGTTCTTTATGGGTGGTCAGCCTCTCCGTAACATTAGCAGGATCAAGACTTTTGAAACCAGTTATTTCGTTGATCATCAGCACGAGAGTATCAAAAGAATTGTCCAGTGACCGAAGCAACTTCTTCATAATCTCATGATCGGTAATATATTCAGCACCAAGACCTTGCAGCTCATTTGAGATATCACTGAGACGATCAAAGTTTCTTGACAGTTCTCATTCCCAGGCCACTTGAAGCGGCTGAACTTGGCTCGGATAATAACAATTCATGTTTCTTTCTGAGTTGAAACACCTTCATTGATCATCTCTCATCTGTCCCAGATTTCTTTCACTAATCCAAGTCTTATGTAACAAAGGAATTGTGCTCTGAAAGGATCGATATGGTTGACTAGACGGGGGGGGGGTGAATAGGCAACTACCAATTTTTAGCTTTTCTTTACCAAATTAAACTTTGCATCAAAGTAGGTTGTCTATATGTGCAACTAGGTGAACAATCTATATGATGCAACAACAACAAGCACACAAGCAAGCAAGGGAACAAACGCTAAAGAGTTTGCATAAGTAAAGGTAAGAGATAACCAAGAGTGGATCCGGTGAAGACGAGGATGTGTTACCGAAGTTCCTTCCTTTTGAGGGGAAGTACGTCTCCGTTGGAGCGGTGTGGAGGCACAATGCTCCCCAAGAAGCCACTAGGGCCACCGTATTCTCCACCGTAACAACTCGGTAAGGTGGTCATACCACGCACGTGGGGCTTGTTTAAGGCCATAGAGTGCCTTATCGAGTTGATACACATGATCGGGAAAGTAGGGATCCTCGAACCCGGGGGGTTGCTTGA